ATTCGAACCTGCCACCTTAGGTGTATGTGGCTGGCGCCTTAGGCACTTGAGCCACAGGCGCCGAACCTAGTATTAGTTTTGATTTACAAATCATAATTACGTACATTTATGGAGTACAGTGTGATATGCCAATTTATGTTTACAATGTGGGATATTAAATCAAGGTAATTAACATGTCTTTTTCTTTACATATGTTTTTTTTGAGACAGGGTCTTGCTTTGTCACCCTGGCTCGAGTACAGGAGCATCATCATAGCTATTGCAACCCGAAACTCCTGAGCTCAAACAATCCTCCTGCCTCAGCCTCCTGAGTAGCTGGGACTATAGACCTCTAGCTAAGTTTTCTATTTTTAAGAGTCTGGTTATTGCTCAGGCTGGTGTCTAACTCCTAAGCTCAAGAGAGCTCCTGCCTTGGCCTCCTAGAGTGCTAGGATTATAGGTGTGAACCACTTTACCAGACCCTGAAGATTTTATTTAAAATAAAAGAAACTCCTGGATTTAAGGGTATAAATCTCAGATTTGTGATTCCTTAAATTCATAACTTGAAAGTGCCCTTAATTAATTTGAAGACACCAAAATTCTAGATAGAATACTTGCTTGGGAAATATTTAATAAATGCCAAGTCATCCAACAGGTATTCCCTAGAGAGCTGGCATCTCTCTAGGCATTTATCAAAATAGTCATGAAAAAAAGGAAGCAAGTTTTGCCACTTGCTCTGTTCAAAGTTTTAATTACATGTTGCAGAATAACCTGACTTACGGTAGAGAACAATATTCCTGAACCCACATGTCATACAGATTCATGGGCCATAGCGTGAGATTTACAAAATCTGTTAAGTAGTTTTTGAGAAGTTGAATAACTCCCATCTTTTTTCACTAAATTTTCTAATAGCCTGCCAGTCTTATGATAGCTTAATATAATTTCTTTCTATCTTCATATCCTTTACCTTGCTTTGATCCTACTTATCTGACTGATTAGTGTTTTAAATACCCTACTACTATAACATCTTTGAAATGAACAAATAATCCATCTATATTGTTATTTGAAAAATCAGAATGACTTTTTTTTTTTTTT